TTTTGTGTATCAACTGGAAGACATATACTCAATATGCAGATAATAGTTATTAAATGCTACATACAGATTTATACAGAATTTAGGGAAGTCGACTATAAAAAAAGTTTAACATAAAGTTTAGTACTTACTTTACCATCAATGTTTAACTCTAGTCATACATCAAATCTGAAGCAAATGTATCACGGAGTCATGTTTAAATGTATTGTTATTAAAAATCTTCTCTCGATTAAAGAAATAACCACAAACAAACAGTTTGCGGCGTATCTAAATTGCAAGAAAATGTTAATCAATGTGAAAAAAGGAAATAAGAACTTCAAAAACTTCATCTTTTTGGTGAGCAAATTCTTAACCTTAGAAATGAAATCCGATGAGCATTCTATTTTTGTAATAAGTGGGATTTTTCTTTTGTTCAGTATCGTAGAAAAAGTTTTTGTAATAGTGTTGTTTAAGTTGATATCCGTTTTCATTAGAAAAACTAATATCAAAGAATTGTAAACAACAAATACTTTTAAACACAACTTTGAATTAATAGTAATAGTTTTATCAGAAAGAAATTACACGATACTCATTTTGATTCTAAATTGAAAAAGTTTTTGGCTCATATCAAAGATAATTAATTTGCTTTATATGACCTAATTTAACTAATCATGCTCCCGTGTCTTAAAGTGATAGATAGCTAACTTATATATTATTCATATCAAATTGGGATAGTGTGGATGTTAGCCTCTTTCAGAAGTCTTGTATAATTTTCATTACAAAAAAAACTTTGTATAATACCCACCCATTTCTGGTTGCAAGAATTCGTTCATATTTTCAAAAGTTTCTAAATTACAAAAGTTATTTAAAACTAAAACTTTTATGCCTGAATATATATGTAAAAATGAACTGAAGACCCTTATTAACATTAACAAGAAGTTGATTTTGTTAGTTTTCCCATCAGAACAGAATGAAAAAAAAATGGAAATTGTTTTGTTTAAATAAATATAAATCTTAAATCGATATATTTTTTCCTGGTCTTCAATAAGAAATGATAAAAATATATCTTCAATTTAATATTGTGCTAAATTTTATGGATAATTAATCTTACTGATTGTTTTATTTCGTGGCTTGTGGCAAAGCTCCTCCTTCGTTCTTGAATCATCTAATTCTTTGTCCGTAAAACTCAAATTGCTTCTATCTGTTAGATAAGTGTATGATTATTAAACATTCAAATGTGTTCAAAACATTGCACCAAGGAAATTGTCTTAATTGTCAAATACATGTATTTTAAAAGTATGAAGTAAGCAGTCGTATTTTTCAATGATTAAATTCAGTCATACATGTAAATGTTAAGCATAAACGCATGCTTTATTGAAAAAAAGTTTTATTTTCTATATTTAAAAAAGTAAAAATGGGCACACAGAGAGATTTTGAGGTAATTGAGGGCAAATCCCCTAAGGGAATTAAAATACCACAGAAGTCAGTCTTTGAGAATTTCTTACCGATATAATAATGAACTTCTTTATATGTCACCTATAAAGTTTTAATCATTTTTAGTCGTACAGTAATGATGAGCCTGTGGGAGGCTATTTTTCCTGAGGGACACCCAACCTCGAAGAAAATGAAGGAAGACACGCAGACGTCGATATATTATTATACCAGATATCCTCATATAAACAGAAGATTAAATAGAACTGTGCTATCGAGAGATATATGAAAAGCCTACGAGTTGAATCGGTATATGTCCTATATTGGGGCTCCTATATAATACTACTGTTCGATACGATATTGGAAACAAAAGCTTAGTTAGCATGAACTTTTTTGAGAATTCTACCAAAACCATAAACTTTTGATATCTACTTTTTGCACTGGAAGTGACAGCAATATATGAATTTTGAACCACAAAAATTAAGGGTTATTTGTACATCATCATTATGTAATTTGGAATATTTTTAGAGTAAGATCTCAAATGGAAAACCTATTTTTACTTCGATGTCAACTGTGAAAATATTTGTCAAGTCCATACTTTTTGTTACCGAAATTAGTTTGACTCGATGCAAGAAATACTTATATCCTTTTATGATTTCAAGAAAGGTATCTGTGAAGTTTTTCGTGAAATATTATTAAAATTTTCATATTTTATTCGATTCCATGGTAACGGTGGGCATTTCAACAACTAAAATGTTTCATATTTATAAAATTTTCATTAGAAAATATTTCTCATTAGAAATTTCTATCAAAATTATTTCAAAACTGAGCCTTATGGGGTGTTTCAAATGTAAAACATACAGAAGCATTACTATAGAAGTATTCAATGATAAATTATTGACGAACAAGTTGCTGAAACAAGAATGATAGCTGTATCGTTTAAAGTCATAATTTCGTAAGTCCTATTGTCAATTACCTTGTCAGCAAATACAATTTATCATTAAGTCATATTCTGACTCACGTTTTTCATACGAACTGTCAGGCCAAAATAAACACACTGAATTGACGACGGATTGTTGCCCTATTTCTCGATCAAGAAGAAGCGCACGGGGGTTTGAGTGGTCGGCAGGGGATGCTTACTCCTCGATGGGGCCTGAACCCACCTCTGATGTTTTAGAGGTCCGTGTTTACTCTGTTCCAGTTTTTTTCTTATTGTCTAATGGACTTTGAGGTTAGATGCTGTTGGTTAGCTCCATATACGATTCATTTGATTTGGTGTTCATTAGAAGAAATGAGAAACTATTTTACATTCAAGGGATATTAATCATGTATAACCTTGAAAGTGAGGTACGATAAATGCCACCAGAGAGAGTGAATTCTCTCGGTTACGAGGTAGTTGGCTTTCCTACATGATGTAACATTTCCAAGAATCGAACAGTTTTCTAAATTTGTATATTACTAGTGAAGTGCGATAAAGTTTTTGATCAGAAAAATGAATGTTTTTACATTTCAATAAAACATTTGCGTAATACTCCTGTGCGTACATCTTTAAAAATTTAAAAGTCCTTAGTATTAATTTTATTTCTGTACCTGTTGTAATTAAAGATATGTGGAATGTACGGAAAATTGCAGGCAAATGATAACATAATTCCTTATTTCTAATTGTGTAATTCAAGTAGGATATAGGATTCTTACGTGTGTAAAAGTTTAGGCAAATGCTATTGAAACTATCATCTCATTACTTTGCTGGTATGTACGTTTTTATACAATATCCTGTTTGAACTTACTATCGATAAAGTTTGTCATATTTATAGTTCTATAATTTTTTTAATGCATTTAAACTGTTACACGAGTAGTGAGTTAAACATACATAAGTCCCTAACACCTGTGTTAAATGTATTGAACACATTTTATTCAAATTGTGACTGGTATCTCGTTGCATATTGTGTATTTCCAAGTTTAACATGCAAACTAGAAATATAACGTCTTTTAGATCATATACATATACATTCCGGAATACTAGTATTCTTCATCCATCCGTCACAGAAGTAGCTATGAAATTACTGATTTCAATCCCCGTTTCCATGACGTCATTTAGTGTATAAAGAGCAGTTGCCCCCCAGCATTATATAAGTGCATCATCGTTGATTACTATTTTATCGTCATCTAGCTTTACGGCTGCCTGTAATTCCCTTCATAAGGTTCAAAATCTTCAATTTCTTCATACACTGGAAATACCATATGAAAGCTCAATTTCAGTCTTTACTTCAATGTTAATGTATTTTCCCAACTTCTTATACATCTGCATGGGTATTTTTCAATTTGTATAGATTCCTAGGTCTTACATTTTTTCCTAAAATATTTTTTTCCCAAAAAAAAAATCCTTCGGTGTAGTCTTGAAACACATGAAATGTTACAACCATTTTTCACTAGATTAAGAACATTACCACAGCCTTTCTAGTAAAATCCACTTGTATCAAAAACATTATATTCTTGATCTTGAACAAAAAGATGTAAGAACAGTTCGACATTTTTTTTTCTCCATGCTAGCTCTGGAAAAATGCTTATTTTAGCCTGGATAACCTAAAAATGATAAAATATGTTAAATGTCCTCTTCGGTTGAACGGTATACATGTAGGCTGAACCCTCTACAGTTTACATTCATAAGATGTATACTTCTTATTTCTTTGTATTTAATAAAGGGAAATACTAGTATTGTAATGCACAAATTATATGGTCGATACAATTATTTTGTTAGGAAATAGAATCTATCGTTAAGTCAAATGTTGTTTTTCATACAAATTGTGAGACCATAATGTAAACAATAAATTGTCCACGGATATTTCCATTTGCCCGAACAAGACAAAAAGCACAGCGATTGTGTCCACTCGACAGGAGTCGATACTCCTCTATCGGAGATGATCCTACGTACCTCTAAGGCTTTTAGAGATTCGGGTTCGCAATTGTATAATTCCAATAAACATTTTTGGCTTGATTATGTTTCATTATCTTAATATTTCATTCTGATGATTTAGAAATTATCATAAAGAAAGAGAAACGTGTCTTAATCCGGGAAACAGTCAGCTCAAGTTTGAAAATTAACAATGCAATTAAAAAGTTTATTCCATCAGTAATATTTGAAAATATTTACTACGAAATATGAATGACAATACAAATTAAATCAAAAGTTACATTTTGGATTTTGAATATAATGAGCTTTCCATGAAACTATCGTATTTTGCAAATTTAGATTTGAATTTTTTAAACAGTATTCTTCTGAAATACATTGCAATGAAGCCAGAAGGAATTAAAATAATAAATCAATCAACTGTTATCAAAAAGGTTTCCCGAAAATAAGACAATTACAAGTGGCATGTTACCGATCATGAGACAACCAACCACAGATGTGACAGACTTCAGACAAATAGGTTGATGTTACAGGGACTTTAACAAACTTCTTTTAAAATCAGCATCTGAAAATTCATTTGATCTGATTTGCAAATACATGTACGACCTATCAATGGGTCGCATTTTGTCAGACCTGCTTCAGACCAGATATTAGACTATTGTTTTATTTTAAAAGGACTATGAATTCCATCGTCCACATGATCAATGAAAAGGGCTAACGACGAGTATGACCTGTTGTCAGGGTGTACTTACTTAACCTAGGTCCCTGATCCTACCTTTGGAACGGAGTTTCCAGGGGCATGTGTTTTATGAGCTGTCCACAAATTTGTTCCGCTTCAAAGAGTTGTAAGATCGATCACTTCTCTTTAATTTCACTTTTTTTATTCTCTCTGTACGCTTCTGGTTGACCTGCATTTTGATTTAATGTTTTGAAAGGGTTCTACACATAAACCATATTGTTGATTAACAAAATGTTTTGTTATACATAATGAAACATATGCTACATGTCTTTATCTAATTGACAAAACACAGTGTGAGTAGAGGGTATCGCGCTAGTGAAATCGTTAAGCATATCTTCTTAATAACTTATGATACCGTTTCGTGTGGATTTATCAATACCTTTTTTAGCCACAAGGACTGCAGTGCAGGTTCCTGTAAAGTTAATCTTTTGAACGGTCAACATTTCTTTAAATAGAATTTACATAGAGTAAGAAATATTGGGGAAAAAACGAAATTTTAGTAATAAGTTTGATAAACTCATATATAATTCCTATTTTGATTCAAGAAGAAAGTTCATTAGTCTTTTTAATTTAATTAATCTAACATTTAATTTCAGTCAAACTGAATTCTGCAGTTTATCACACCACGTTCTTCCTGCTGCACGTTTATCTTTTTTTTAACTCAATAGCTATCAGTCAGTAACGTGACTACCCAATCTTGTCCGAGATTAACTGAGCACAATAAAATATCTTGTTTGATTTCGTAAATGAAACACCCCTTAAACAATTTCTCTTTGTATCTTCCACAAAACTTAACTTCTAAGAGTTCATATATAATTAAATTATTACGAAGGCGGTACATGATAGTTTATTATTGATGTGCCTTGCATGTTCACTGTAGGTCCGCCGAGAGTTCTATACATTTAGGATACTCCCGTGGCTTTGTCTGTATATTTTGTTCCAATCATTTGGAGGCAAAAAGCTTCAAAACCCTCCAACTTAATACGTTGTGAAATTAATGCTTCATGTCACCACTAAAATATTTTTTTTTTTTACAGGAAGTTAATGACGTTAAAAAGGATATGTTTACTCAGAGCAATATGTTCTATACACCTTCTTAATGGGATGTAGATCAAGGCTGTCCAATTGGAAAGTTCATCTGCTAATTGCTATAAAACACATAGGAGACCAGCGACAATTGCAGAGAGCAACAAATCACCTCGTCTATCAGAGAGCGCGAGTGGGGGAATAAGACAGTTGTATTGTGAGACTAATCAACTCAATAACCAATTCAATGAACAACATTATGGGACTCGGAGGAGTGGCTAGAGTTATCTATAACATTTATAGTCAGTGAAGTGTCAAAACACTTAAAGAAAACAATAGGAAAGTACAATGAAGAACTTGACACTATTGGATGTGAAAGGAAGTCTGATACAAGAAACGTTTAAGTGTACTTCAGATGGAAATTTTACTGCAGGAAATCTCACCTGTGTTAAGGAGAACTCACATGGACGGCATAACGAACCACAATTCTGGGTAAGGTATTTCAATAAATTATGTTGCATCTACTAAAACCATTCCCTTTATTTAGTGTATCGCCTAATTTTCTTGTCTTACTTTATTCTTTTAGTTACAAATATTTCTTTTTTTTATATAGAAAGTCACTCATGCAAGAATTGATACTCTAAAAGTTATCTATGCACAATGTGTCGCAGAGACCAGTCTTTTGCATGGAAGCGTATAAACCGAGGTCTCTTGTCTCAGAGGGTGATAGAACGAAAAAGACCCCTCCCTAATCAAAGTCATTAAGTGCCAAGTTCAAGTCTAAATTTGCTACCTTCTGACGGCAATTGTTAGCTGTTTATTATGAGTAAAGTTTTCTCAAATAGACGTTAAGCAAGCAATCAAAATCAAAACCTCACTAATAATACCAAGGCTTTGTTCTTTTTATCTTCCGATGCAATTATTTTCATATTCTTGAGTGATAGTCTAGTAGAGGCAAGTCGTTAACATAAATTGAATAAAGCTTTAAGTTCATAGATTATCTGTAAAAGGCTTTCATAAATTGAATTTCTAGACTGAAGCTTTCATGTGTGTGGGAATCAGAAAATAAAGTCGGAAAAATTAAAATATTTCTGAATTATTCTACACTATTGTAAAGTATGATTCCTATTATCAAAAGGGTCTTGCATAAAATGAAATTGAGACGATTTTGTCTCACTGACCGGGCCATGGATACCAATTTTGTGTTGTTTTCCATAAAACTGTGATCACTCTGATCTGTCTATTATGGCAGACATTAGTGCTTATTGGGATTTCTCTAATGCCTGCTTATTATACGATTTATTCTCATATCTTAATTGACAAAATAAGAGATTTCTGTTACAGATGAAAGCCGTGCATATATGAATGGCCAAGAATGTAAAAGGGTAATGGAATTGTTCCTAAAAATAGCTAGTACATTTTATTGTATTTTATCAAACTTTAACACACACACACACACCCTCACACACACAAACACACCCTTTCAGGTGCAAATGCTTTTTTATATTTAAAGGACAGTAATTTGAAATCATATGTGGAAAGAGTTAATCTTTTACGTATTGGCAAACTAAAATCACTTGAATACTTTAACAGTTTTGTTTGAAAGTATATTGCTGGCCATTATTTGGATATAACTTAGCCTTGCGGTTGTACGAATGCTAATGAATTACGAGGTCAAAAAGTTAATAGTTTTTTTTCTTTATTTGGGTATATACATGTACTTTACTCCACTGAAAAAAGCAAAGTAACTTTTTTTTCAAAGAGAAAATTATCTACCGCTTGAAATCATTAAACAATTAAACAATATCAATGGAAAAAGAAAGTATTCTGGTACTCACTAGACAAATTCACAAGTAATCACAATAAGGGAAAGCCAATGTCTTAATAATAATGATAGTTTAAAAAGTTACAAATGGTTTGATGAAGAAAGATAAGTTATACAAATAATTACAATACTTTACAATATCTATCAGCAAGAACACTTTCCGTCCCAAAAAAATTTCTCAAGCATAAACTTTCACATTGACTGAAGCTATCTTTATTCTGGACATTTATGTAAATTTTTAAATCTTTTTTCAAACCTTTTTGCAAAAAAAAAAAAAAAATGAAAAACGTATAAAACCACATAACCATTTGGAATTGATTTGATATAACGAACAGGAATGTAAAATACGTTTTCTGAAGTTCCCAATACTGAATTCACAGTGTGCTTTGTTTGAATCTCTCAAATCGAAAATACGACGAAGCATAAAATAGTTTGTTGATATAGAAGTCTTGTGGATTATCAAGGAAATAGGCCTATATCTTTTAATCCATGACTTCGGACTTAAGACTTAGGCTTTATAAACTAACATGCGGTTTCATGCCAATCACGTATTATTCTCATTTCTGAAAAGCTGGAGATACCAGCACATAAAGCATATTACAGATCATGAAAGCACCAAAATGCTCTTTCCATAACATTTTGCCTAAAAAGGTTTTTGAAATGTTTGCATGTTTGACTTTAGAATTTTCGAAAGAAAAAGAAAACATTAAGAAAGACAAGATCCTGTTGGTTTTTTGTTCTAAAATTGTTAAATTTGTTTTTCATGAAAATGAAGATAACGCACTGAACTCAAACTCAAAATTCTATAAAACATTACAAAACTGGAGCAAAGCAAACACGGACCTCCAAAACATTCACATAATGATGAATTTGAATTTTTTTTTTTTAAAATCTCGTTTACTGTTAACATTCATTCATTTGCTCCACGTACATGCCACGGTTTATACAGAGATGAAACAGACGAGGATAATGAATAGAGATCTATATGATAAATCCTGTAAATACGAGTTATGAATACGTCATTTATAAAAGGATTAGGATCAGGTCCCTGTATCATGAAAGATCTTAAGCTTAAGTCAAAATCTTTATAATGTACTATACTAAAATGCTTATAAAGTCAAGTAGACAAAAATTAAAATTATGTCAATTTTGCTACACAAAAGTTTTGATATCTGCAATATACACTAGTTTATAATTCAATTATTAATACATACTTTACAGGCAATTGAAAATTTGATGTAAGTCTAAGTTTATTTCATAATCCTGGGGCCAGGCACCCAGGAGGAGAAAACATTCCCTGTCAACTGGTCATATCAAGAAACAAATCTGTAAAAAGAGAAAACAAGCGTTAAGTCCACCTTTGGAAAGTGAAGGGCTGATCAGTCTCGCTTTATTTTATCTTGTGTAAAATTGGAGGTTCCGACCCATATTAGGAGTTGATTTTCAATTGCGATTAAAATATTCTGCTATTATTTCAAAGCGTTTTAGAAAGGAAAAGGATTTACGAAGAGGACTTTTCAAAAATTTCATTCACTAAGCATGAATTAATTATTGAAGATTGCATTGAAGTCTATGGAAAGAAGTAAATTTTTGGAAAGCAAAAAATAAAATATTTTTTAAAAAATGCTGTCGTAGGGGAAATATCTTTTTGATTATTAGGAATAGAAAAGCAATTAAAAACTGTTTTTCACCAGATAGATTTTTGAGAATTGATTTTATTGAGTAAAATCAAAGGGGGAAACTCTTCAAAGGCAAGACAAGGTCATAAATGAGGACGCCTTCCTCTTTAATGTACTTAATTTAAACATGAAAATTATATCAAAATAGACTGAGTATACAGTACATACGTATCTGTTATACATTCAATTCAGTTGAATCAGAGGTTAATATGGGTTGGATACCTAATACAGGAGGAATGATCTAATTCATCAATTTCCTCATTCTGTTTAATTTTGATCCCAGCACAAACAGCGTCAGCTTGTTCCTTACTGAAGTAAAAGACCCTTCATATTGATGTGCAACAAAGATAAACAATGCACACAAGACGCTCTGCATTATCAACCATAGCTTAGATACATTATGAAAAGAATTTTAGTTGTTCAGTACTAGTTTACCCGCTGAGCAAGTAAGAGCCCTATATTGTTAATAATTAGGTAATAGCTACGTGTTTACAATTTGATTCATTGAATATTGAAACAAAGGAAAAACATCAAATCTTTCCTATACGCCGAAAAAAATATGTTACATGTCATAAACAACTGCAAACAATGGATGTATAACGAGTGCTTTAAGATTAATGAACAATAGCAGTTAGAGCAGGATTCAATAGATTACTAGCAAACAATCTAGTTAAAAAATCGAAAAGTAATCAATTGCTGCTCATTAAAAATAAGGAGATTTAGATCCTTGTATTCTCTGTTTTTCCTTGAATGTCCTTGTTGACATTTTTGTATGTTGATTGCTTCATGGAATAAATTAAAAACTAACTTTTGAACTAACTGTTTATGTGTTGCCGATAATTTCATGTATAATCTCTTATTACAATAATATTGCAAGAGGACGAGATGATTAGAAATATACTATATTAAATGTAATAACAAAACAATAGATGTCACAAAAGAAAACAATTACTCTGATGTTGAAAGGATTGATAACAGAAATCTTGGAAGGGTTTTTAAATCCTGGACAATGACCAAAAGCTGAATTAGCTTTTGAGCAATGAAGATATGCAAATAGTATTAGAAATCAGCAAAATGATTATAATAGCAGGAATTTAATAATTTGAAGGTTAATCTCAGGAATTGCTTCGTGTAACATCCATAATATCTTTTAATGAGTAAAATCTTTTTATGAATTTTTGTATGTTTGATTTTAATCAAAGTAAATGTAATAATATATGAAAATAACGAACAGTATTCAACCTCAAAAATCCATTAAATAATACAAAACAGGAGCAGAAGAAACAATTAAGGACGTTTAAAACATCAGATGTGGGATCAGGTACAATGGAAGATTGAGCTTCCCATGCCGACCAGTCCCATCCTATGTTTGCTCATTGTCATGATCAGGAAAAATAGCGGAAAATCCGTGGACCATTCAGTGTTTAAATAAAGGCCTAACAATTCGTATGAAAAGTTGGGAAACATTTGACTTACGTAAGAATGAATTGTCTTAGATACTCAGAGTACAAGCCCACCAGACTGATTGATTGAGACATCATTGTCCCTTGGTTTCCTCTATTTTTAAAACATTTTATATACTTTGATTCTAGAATACTAATTAATGCATTGCTATTTTTTAGTTTCTGGTTTTTTTTTTTTAAATATTGCATTTCCTTTGGTATTGATTGTCGAACAAACATAACTGGGTATTATATAGCTCTCTGCTTGAGAAAATTCGGACAGATAAAACAGAGAGCTACAAATTCAAGCGTTGTAAAAACCTTCGATTTACGCCGACGATTTTTTGTCGCTACTTTAGGTACATATATTTATTTCGTGTAGTTTAAGCTTTCTCTCTGCTTTATCTGTCCCAATTTTCTCCACCAGGGAGCTACAGTTCTGCAGCTAGATATTATAAAAAACCGTGTATGTCCTCAAGTTTTTTCTCCAATATCTTAATGATTGATAAACCATATTGCTGTAAAAATATTAATATTCACCCAGTTTGGTTTATAGTTAATAAGCACTTGTTTCATTTGTCTAGATCTGTTTTAAAAATTATTTGATTCATCAACCATGAATGAGTCAGCAACATGATAGCTTACTATCATCCTCTCTTCTAAATCCAATGTTAACTTTTTTTAAAAGAAAAAAATACAATTTACATGTAAGACAACCGACATTTACATTTGGCCTATTTGAACATCCTTTCCACTGAACCCATTTTTTTATATTTCAGGAAGTACAACGAATCTTAGTGATAGTTCTGTTCCTGAGTATACTGATTGGAAATAGCATAGTCCTCGTAGCAGTAGCCATCTCCAAGCGGAAATCGCGTATGAATTTCTTCATTAAGCAGCTGGCGTTTGCAGGTAAAGAATCTGTCGGTCTACTGAAAGAATTTTTTAAAAGAAATATTTTATGCAATTTTTCTTTTATAAGTAGTGCCTAACAATTTTAAAACAAAAGTTGATTTGACCGCTTCTTGATACAATTATGATAGATATTACATGTATTTCGAGCACAACACTGCCGTTACAATGTAGAATGTTGACTGTGTAATATAGAAAACAAAAACTTAAGCATGATATTTTATATTTACATGATTTTGATTTTTTATATTCATTGGAATAAGTGAATTGCGATGAAATACCATTACTTTGTTTTCTGCGATAAAATCTTTATTTTCTTGAAATTGAATGTCTACCCGACAGACAAACATGATTTATAAGCAAACTGATTATTGATACTTGATAAATATTTTGATCTCCGTTTTCAGATTTGCTGGTAGGCGTCTTCAGTGTTCTCCCCGATCTCATACAGAGGTTCACAATTCACTGGTACGCCGGAGAGGTGATGTGCAAAATTGTTAGATTTGGAATGGTAGGTGATCTAAAAATTGCTATATGTTGTTGTGAACATATTATATTTCACACTCATATAGATTCATACACTGGTGGAAAACTGACATCAATACTTCTCTACTGTCAACTTCCTTTATTTACCTAACAAAATACATTTATCACCTGCATATGGAGTTAATGTCTCTCAGTCGATTCGATATGCTAGAGCATGAATGAAAAATCTCTCAAACGGGAAAGGCTACCGACAAATAAGTTAAACGTACAGTGACCTTGGTTTTAACAAAAATATGTCATGATATTTGATTGAAGTCTTTCGTACAAACTATGATGACAATAATTCATACTGGATTGACTACGGAGGGTAGGCAGACACCTGATACCCCCGCCTTTTTCAGGGGGTCCGCGTTGACTGTACTCATAATTTGTTTCGTTGAAATCGACTTTTGAGAATGATCACTGTTCGTTGCCTTCAGATCACTTAAAAATTCTAAACACATACAGTGCCAAAAACATACATAAATAATTAAAAAAAATTATAGGGGCTACTTTTGATGTGTTTTCACTTTTCAAGATCGTTTTTATTCTTATTCAAAAAAATTCATATATTCATATTATTCAGTATACATTGTACATGTATTTGATACTGAGCTTTAGTACTTCTCGTCTGTGGAGTTTAATTCCAAGAATTTGATATAATAAGCTTAAAAAAAACATATTTCTGAAGATAAAAAAAGCTTTTAACCTGCAGGTACAAAGTACATGTAACCAACATTAATGGGCGTTACTTATATAATGCTGTTATATCATAGGTCATAAAAACATTCATTTTAAGATTTAGAAGATTGCTCATGAGTGCAGGTTGAATAAAAAACGTGAGTTCTTGTCGCCTTTTACACAAATCCTCTTAAATGTAGAACAGTTAGCTACTTATCAAGATAAAGTTTCATCTCCAGCAAAGTGATAGTAGAAGAGATCATTGAAAGGCTAATGAAAATAAATAATCTGACAAATATCCACCAAGAAAAATCCAATAATACATTAATTGTTTAAAAAGGAACGACACGCCTATTTTTGGGAAAATGCTGATGAATGTGAGCGTCATGGAAACTCACATCATCTGAAGAAGAATTTTATGAAAGTAAAAAATTTTGTTTAATAGTTTTTTTGATTGAAATAAACAATTTGTTTGTAATTAGGGAAAAAAATTTGTTTGGGAGTTGTTGCGAAATCATTAGGACAAACTTAATGCCACCAAATAGCTTAGTAAATATTCTGGTAATAAAAGTACTTATTTGACACGAATACTCTCTACGATGGGCTTGTACAAATGCCATCTAAAGTGATCTGATGAAATTCAAAAATTATCCTTACGTTGATTTAATATATCGTACTGAATTCGAAATACTAGACTTTGTAGACGATATAAAGTTGACGTCAGATTTATTAAAAAAAAGTTTGTCCTTTGTCCTTTGGTGTCCTTTGTCTAGAGTTCAATGAAGTGTTTGTCTCTCAGTTGAATTGACTATGAAAAAACAATTGTTCTGTTGATGAAAAATTTCTAACAAAGCCTCTCTCCGATAGATAAGTTTATGCTCCAAAGCATTACTCGTTTCGTTTAACTTTAAATTTCGTACTTTTTATGGTTGAAACAATAGTAACATACACTTTCTAATTGTCCAGTTATTATTTTTTAAGCTGAATATCAATGCATATTCTGTTCAACATCAGCATTTAATACTTATTACTCATTCATATGAAGCAGAATTTGTGCAAAATCTTATATGGCCTTCAACTCGACATTTAGATAAATTGACGACGTATTGTCAATTAACAATGGTAATTCCATTCTTATGTCGATACGATATATCCTGTTCAGCTTGAGATAAAAGATACCACAAAGTCTGACACATCTGTTTCATATTTGGATATTTTACTTGAAAAAGACGTTAATGCTAATCTAACAACGAAGCTCTATGATAAACGTGATGATTTTAACTTTTCTATCGTCAACTTCCATTACTTATGCAGCAATTTACCCTCATCAACTGCTTACGAGTTTATACATATGGTATTTTAGTTGATTCAAAACGCAAGAGCATGTTCTACGTATGAACAATTTCTAAAACGAGGTAAAGTATTGACAAACAAGTTGATGAAACAAGAATATCAGCCGTCTCCTTTAAAGTCATCATTTCGTAAGTTCTATGGTCGATACAATGACCTTGACAGCAAATACAATTTATCATTGATTCAAATTTTGACCACCGTTTTTCATACTAATTGTTAGTCCATTATTTATTGACGGAATTGATCACAGATCTTTACGTTCTTTTCCGATCATGACAAAGAGCACACGGCGGGTGTGACCGGTTGGCAGGGATGCTCACTCCTCCACCTGATCTAACCTCTTATGTTTTGGAGGTCCGTGTTTGCTCTGCTCCTATTTTGTTTTGTTTTATACATGACTTTTGATCTGTAATACTATTCTTTATCTCCATATTTATCACAATGGCACTTTATCCCTCTCTGATATTTTCAGGGTCTGTATTTGCTCTGCTTTATCAATCTAAATTACTGAAATGGACTTTTGATTACTTTTGTTAATACTCGTGTCTCGTTGTAAAAAGTATCATGATATTTTAAATGACGAACTTGCAAGTTTGAAAAATACAGTAGCTAAATATTAGTTTTTATAACATTTTATGAAATACAAAGTAACTAAAATAGATTTAACAGGTAATTTATCATATTTTTACAACCTCTACATCAATAGAACAGTAATATGAAATTGGAGATGGGCATTTATATTCTATTGAGCATGTATCGACAGTTATAAACAGTTAATGCTGTTCCTGTAACAGATGCATGTTTTATTTATTTTAAAATGTTTTATCAATAACTAAATAAAGGAAACACTGAAGGTGTCGATGGTCTTAAAATGTATATATAATAAGTTGGGACATGTTTTACTTCGTGTTTCAATTATTAAATGAGGAAATAGATTTTGCAAATACGTACACCTGGGTATCTCCGGTTGATTCCATTTGTACATATTTGAATTTTGAACAAAATTAGTTCTATTTAATAATAAATGAAAATTAAATGATTTACCGATTACAAATTTGCATCAATATATGCAAGATAAGAATCTTACCGTTTATTATTTAATGAGACAATCTGATAACTTATTTTGTTTTTGTTCATTATTTATGAACTGTAATGATTGTCCTTGCACTAAAGTATATACACTACAGTAGTACTAAAATAAATTAAGTTTCTATTGCGGAGTTATATTAAAATACTAAAGAGTCTTCATTCCGATAGCATTCCACCCATGTTCATAAAATTTGATTCATTTATGCATTTAGTGACTTTATAGTCTAATTACAATTACGTAACCCGAGGATGATGTGAAGACATTAATCACTTACCTGCTGCGTAAGTTGCTTGCTTGTTTTTAAACGCAACATTAAGTGGTTAATGTTAAGACCAACCTATTTTCATAGATTAATCATTACATCTGTCATAACATTCGGGAATATTTTCTTCTATTTTCTCTTCAATTTTGGGGGGTAATTTTGACATCAGTAAAATTCTCTTATAAGCTATGCAATTGCAAATTCTTATGTTTTGTAATTTTTCCAGGGTTAATAGCATTATCATGGATGTATTTACTGTTAAAATAACAATTGAACAAAAATTACAAAACATACAATGTTATAAGGATGACTAATTTCAAATTTATACCATGTTATATAGAAATTCTAATGAAACGTCAAGAATTTAATAATTTTCTTTAGGTTTTATTTACTTTAAATATACTTATTTTGATCAAAAAAGTGTTTATATTTTTAAGTTTTGATATAACGAAATAAAAGGACAACGAACATAAATCGTGCTCAACACAAATCAAGAACAGAGCAAACACTCTTTAAACATTCAAGGTGTATTCAGATGCTATAAAGGAGTACTTAATTGAAGGATATGGAGATAACGAACAGTATTCAATATCAAAGTCCATAAAACAATACAAAATAGGAGCAGAGCAAACAGGGACCTCCAAAACATCAGAGGTGGGATCAGGTGCCATGGAGGAGTGAGCATCCGCTGCCGACCGGTCACAGCCGCCGTGTGCTCCTTGTCATGATTGGGAAATAACGGGAAAATCTGTCGTCAATTCAGTGTATAAATAATGGAATAACAATGAGTATGAAAAATATCAGTCAGCATTTGACTCAATGATAAATTATATTTGCTGACAAGGTCATTGTATCGACCATACACCTAACGAAAAGATTATTTTAAACGAGACTGCTGTAATTCTTGTTTCATCAACTTGTTTGTCAATAATTTACCTCGTTTTAGAAAATTGTTTATACGTAGAGCATGGTCTTGCGTGTCAAATCAACTGAGATATGTAAAGTCCTTGTGCAGGTGATGAAGGTATATTGCTGCATAAGTAAGAGAAGCTGATGATAGAAAAGTAAAAGTCATCACGTTTATCAAAGACCTTGGTTGTAAGATTAGCATTAACGTCTTTTTCAAGTAAAATATAAGAAACAGATGTGTCAGACTCTGTGGTATCTGTTGTCTCAAGATCACCAGGATTGTTTAACATCGAGAAAGAATATTAAGGTCTACTTTGAATAATAAAATTATCTTTACTGCAAGATGGTGTACACCGATTTTGTTGTGACGACACCAAATACTTCCTAATTTTTTAAATACATTAGTTGTGTTTTACAGTAAGCTACTACTTTTCCGTTTGTTGCTTCAAAATAGTTTCATAGCTTCCGTAGGAGTTCTCAAAATCTTTTACCGAGAAACATGATTTTTTCAAAACCAACTAATTTGCATCTAAATTTTGTTATTCATTAAATATACTTAGTATTTTGCATATCTCTATGATGGAGTTTTGTTTTGGTTTCTTTTTTAATGTTAAAACATGTTAACTGATAGCCCTCTTTCCTGATCTATTTGTAGCAAAATAAACTTAAATTTGCACCTGCATTAACAATTGCACCTTGATTTGTTTTTAATAAGACCGTAACAACCAGTTACTATTGTTCACCATATTTTCGTATTTCGCGAGACGAGAAAAAAAGTTCACGAGTTATGTGATTTGTTGTTTAAAATCCTGACTGATACAAATAGACATGAGAATGTAAATTTAGCGAACAGACAGATTCAAGCCATATCGCAAAAATCAAGTTCTCGCAAATTAAAGTGATTTAAAGTAATTGTTTTCAGGGTTTATAAGCTTTGGTAGTGTTTTTATTTATTTAGTCACCCATATATTTGTAACTAAAATATTGTACAAATGTTTCATTGAATGTAAATTTCTGGTAACCCCCCGTTCACACATAGACGCCGCTTCTACTACGATCAAAGTTTTTTTCGTTGGGGTCGTCAAAATCCTGAGTCTTCATGAAAGCAAATTATTTTGAACATGTTCAAAACAAGCGTAGCGTAATTTTATGATCGTAGTAAAAGCGCTGTGAGAACAGAACTTACCAAGCACGCTCATCCCTCTACGTTCGTACAAAATCTCTCTACGTGCCTGGAGATCCTACGAAGACCTACAATGACCTTACGCCGATCATATCACGACCTATCAGACAAGAGTTTGTTTTTATACCGCTGATATTTGGCCATCATCATTTGTTAACTACATCTGTTAACTTGATGATCATTTACAATTGAGCATTTTCACATCTTGTTACAGTTATAATAATTGAAAATGCCCTAAACCATGTGGTAAAGGCCGGAAAAAAACTGTTTTTCGCTAAAATTGTATACAAAAATCTGCAGTTTCACATCATCATATATTAATGCAATCGAAATATGATCGGCACCACCGTAGCGACATCACGGTACAGTCATCTAGGTCTGTGTAGCGTCGTAATGGTCTTCAATGTTTCAACATCGTAGAAAGCTTGTTAGCAGCGCGTTTGATTTAGTACGGTCGTAACGAAGACCATAATTTGTCAAATTGCTCTATTTCGACGCCGAGATGATCGTGGCTTGATCGGGATTATCAAACTAACGGGGGGTAAACTATGTGTTTTAGAAGATCAAACGAATAACAAGTTACAATTTGCAGATAAATGATTCCTGGTTAATACCCCTGATGAGTGATATATACTTATCTGATCTAATTATACAAAAAGCCATCAATTACGGGATTAGAATCACCCCAAAACAGTGACTTGTAAGGATGAAAAATACAGATCGATGGTAATATCACTTTTTACAACACATAGGGATTCCATTTTGACATGTAGTTTTAAATTATGTTTTTTCTCTTTTTATTTCAAAATTGATCAAGACGATAGAAATTGTCTTCACTCATCAATCATAAATTTCATATTCTTTTTAAAACATGTCAAGCTAAGAATTATACATGATAAAAATCGATAATCAATCTTAACACAGCAATAATCTTAGAAAGTCTATAGCAATTAGAATGCTTTGAAGAATAAGATTTCAACTGAAGCATTAACTGTACTCATGGATCATCGTACTATATTGTATGTAGATTAGATTATCTTGTCACCCAGAATCAAGCTATGGTATTGTCAACAGTCTTTAATCGAGTATCATCTTTTGACATTTATTCATCTGATCTTCTCTAATGTCACTCTGTCTCATTTTTTCATCTTTGTTTCAGGGGACGGTCACCTACGGCTCGACATTTGTCCTCGTGGCATTAAGTATCGATCGTCTTGATGCCATTGCCAGACCCCTTGGGTTTAGTGACAGTTGTGGGTATATCTATAAACCTGATCCACTCTTTTATCATACCATTGTAAACTGTTAAAGAAAAAACAATAATAAAGCTTGTGAATAAGCGATGTACTTCTATAATTCATTTGCAGTATTAAAAAAAGTCTTTTTTGCCTTTCCTTTAAAAAAATTAGTTCATTTTCTTTGAAAAATAGAAAAGAAGTCTCTAAATGAAAAGCTGCAAAACTGCTAAATTGTTTAAATTGTTAAAAGGTAATAATATAAAATTCAGCAATCGAATATATTTCTATGATTTTCACACTTTATACAGGGAGAAGGCCGCGACTGATGATAGCCGTAAGCTGGATTCTAGCTTGCCTCTGTTCCATTCCATTCCCAATTTTATTCAAATCGGACCACTGTTATATAAACTTGACTCCAAATGAATGGAAGGTAAAGTACTGACAATGGTGCTAAACCATCATTTTTAAATGAGCGGTTTTTCATGAAAGAGAGTATATCGATATTAAAACGATTTGTTCTTACAAAAAAAATTGTAGTGTGCTCAAAAGTAGGTTATTCTTTCATCTAATCATGTCAAGATGGAATTAACTTATTTTTATACAGTGTAAATTTGCAATAAGGTTTAGGGACTTTTATTTCGATCACATTAGTTACTTTAAACCCACATCAGCATTGTTAAGGAATTAAGATTGTGATATTGACTCTAAAATATTTGAGAAAAACAAATTCAATCCTCTGTCTATGATTAAAGATATTGAGTAATATGCAATTAAGGTTTTGATTTTCTTAAAAAATCTGCTTCAGAGTTCCAAATAATAAAAATTAGTGATTGGAATCCTTCCTATTGTTTGTAGTGTAAGAATTTGATTATGTAACAAAATTGCTTTTTCATAAGTGCAATTGGTTCTTCTTTTGATAATTTTATTCCCAAATCCCAATATGTTTAAGTCCTACATTAATTAAATTTACATCAATAATAACTCCAAATAGGACTGGAATTGATCAGTCAATCATGAATCAGATACTTCATTTGACCTGTATTCTTGGTTTCGATGAATGATCACTTTGATGCTTTTTGGAGCGAATTTATTCCAGGGCAACTATGAAATTGCTTGAGGAATTTCATTTCCCAGTAGCTATTAGCTAGCAATGACAAATGTATGTTCTATTAGACGACACACATTCAATCAATCACATCTGAGTTATATTTTGTAGTTGTCCTCGGAAGTACAAATTAAGCAGCAGTTTTGAACCTTTTTTACCAGCCATATACTTTCATACAATCTTAGATACGATTTGATGAGTTTCTAGACCGTTCATATGTTAAGGGACTCCGACCCTCAGCCAGGAAGGATAACTCTTTAATTTATAATTTAATTCAAAAAGTCTTTAAATGAAGCTGGAAAATTAATTATTTTCATGCAACAATTTTCAATATACGCCTCTCAATGTGCTTCAAGGTTCTTTGCAAAGCTCCATAAATCACTTCTAATTTCATATCATGTTAATAAACATTGGTATCTAAAAATGCTTTTTCGGGATAAAAATTTCTACTTTTAATTAGACCTTTCTGAGAAGTTCAAAGAATCTTGAAGCACATTGAGAGGCATATAATGAAAATTGTTGCATGAAAAGAATTAATTTTCAAGGTTCATTTAAAGACTTTTTGAATTAAATTATAAATTAAAGAGTTGTCCTTCCTGGCTGAGGGTTGGAGTCCCTTAAGTGTCATGTGCATCTAAAGATAAAGACTAAGTCTCTTAAGAGAATATTAAATAAATACTGCCTTATTAAGTCATCATCCGCTATCTTAGGGCGTTTATAATTAAAACTTATAACCAATTCCAATCTAAAAAAGTTCTCTGAATGTCAGAGAACATAAGAAGCGATAACATATTCTCTTTTTTGAATTATTTGTTTGTACTTTTATATAATTTCCTTAAAAGAATATTAAAAATTAAAGTACATTTGATCAGATAGACTTTTATATCATCATTTTTATAGAATTCATCTGATTTAAATATGACGTAACGAACGGTAATTTATTTTTGAAAATTTGATTTTGATTTTCAGATCTATTTAACTGTGATTTCGTGCGTCGTCTTCTTTATTCCTGCAATCATTATCGGCATCTGTTATAGCGCCATGATATACATCATCTGGTTACATACTCGAGGCGTGCCAAAATCCGGAGGAGATAAAAAAGTTCATGAGTCGGATAAACCTCTTAATGCCAAATCAGGTAGTAACCTTTATTTATTTCAAACACAGAAAGGTTATAAGTGCAGTTTATCAGTCTCTTTAATGAAATCAAATTGACAATTTATGCTATCTGCTAGCATAAAAAATTATAAGAGATAGATTAAAACACATAAAAAGGAGAGTTTACCAATATCTGCATACTGTGAAATCACATTTTCCTGGAGTACAGTTTTGTAGATTCATGAAAAAAGTAAGGGTTCGTGGGGATTTTAATTTCTTGGTTCGGCAAGTGCTTAATAGCTATGCATCAAGATTTTTACATTTCGTTGGGGCACACAAAAGTGTAATAGGTGGAGTGGGGACTGGGGCTTTAGTGTGTGCAACAACTCGTACAAGTGAGATGCTCTAATTTATAACATTCTTAACTTACACTGACTTCAGTGTGAATGCTAAGCTAGACTCTGCCGTCTAGATCTTTTTAGGAACCGTCTCTAAACAGGTACATAGTCTAAAAGGATTATATGGAAAAGTGCCCATATTGGCACTTCAAATCAAATTATACAAATAGTTTACACTGTAATAGACTTTTTGCTCATATTATTGCATGTGATAAGTAATACATTATATGTAAGAAACACAGAGGTCTCCTTGCATGAACGACTGTAAAACACATTTTATTCATGAGAGCTTAATTATTGCGTAATTACGCGAGACAGTGTGCTCGCATATATAAGTATTCCTTTGGATTATATAGGGTAATTCGCGAAAATTTTGTTTCGCTAATAAAGAGGTAATGACTATATTGCGAAATAACGTGTCGGTCCCCCTAAATACCACTACCAGAGTACATCAATTTTGCCTTCAGTTCATCATTATTTATGATATGTTGTGATCATTGAAAAATATATGAAGATTTATATTAATTTCCGATCAAGACTAAAATCACATGGCGGATGTGACCGGTCGGCCGGGGGTGCTCACTTTTCAATGGCACCTGATCCCACACCAGATGTTTTGGAGGTCAGTGTTTTCTTTGCTCCTGATTGCTTGAATGGACTTTTGAGCTAAAATACGGCTCTTTATCTCTGTATATTTCATTATATAGCATAAGGGATTCTAACTCTTTGAAATAAACCCTGCACTCTTCATTCAATTGTTTATTAATCAAAAGAAGTTCACTGTACTTTTGTATCAAATCATAGATGTGTGGTTTGTATTAAATGATGTTACAATTATTGAAATATGAAATTAAAACAATTGATCAATAGATCCTCGATTTTATAGAATAATATTGATTACGTTTATTTAATATATGTACAAATACTAACTTTAGATATTATTCTGGATCATGATGAACTCAAGGCAGATGTGATATGATCTGGTAGTGGGATTTAATACACTTAAACGCGAACGTAATGCCCTGATCATAAAATGTTGCATTTTAATCCCTTTGGATTTAAACTCTATTTTTATATCATTGACTTCTTTGATTTCGGCATATAATTAAATTTGAAATCTTTTGAACAGACTAAAACTGATATATTTATTTTCCCATTTTCTTAAATTATCTTTTTTTTCAGTGCAATTGGTACACTCAAAAATCAATGATGCAATAATGTTTTACACAATTATCCGATTCTTTGCAACTTCGTTTATCATAAGTCATCCCATCAATCCAAGAAAATTTTCATTATAAAGACAAGAAAAAAGGGCAAACTCATCAAAGATGTTATCAATATGAAACCTTGGAGATTTTATTTATGGGATAGTTGAGAAATACAGGAAACCTTTCTACCTACAAAACATTTCAACCATTAATTGTCTTGCCAACTGGTTTATTGGTCAATTTGTTAAACTTTTATCTTTCTAGGATTTCAGATCGAAAAAAAGCCTATCACATATAAAGACAGCAAACTCATGAGGGGGAGAGAGACGCGGATGAGTTCGAGGGGCATCATCCCTCAGGCCAAGATTCGCACCATAAAAATGACATTCATCATTATATTTGGTAATTAACTAATAATTGTTATATATAGTAATGATAACTTCGATTCGAAGCTGGGTTACATGTACTATGAATTCAAATAAATACGACTGATAAAGGCCAGTTACACGGTAAAAATTAGAGAAATTTAGTACAAATTAATTTTGTACTTATAATCAGACGAAGAAGTGATGCTTGATGATGATGGACAAGAAATAGAACAATATAATAATACTTGAAGAATTAACGTTATTATAAAATTGTGGTTAGACGACCATCTTAGAAAAAAAAAGTTTATATGCCGACCGACCGACTAAAACGTCCCGACTCGAAACTTTTTAACCTCTATTTTATTGGTTTCGAAATTTTCTCAGCCCATTAATATCTGTTTTGACTTCGTAACAGTGAATTAAAAAAAAACTTTTCCTCCTTTACTTTCCATTCTTAAACCCTGAGTCGGGAGAGGGCAAGAAAACATTTTTTTTTTTTAGATATTTCCGAACTGCATTTTTTAAAATCAAATACTCAGCAGTCTGTTTCTGAAACACCCTACATACCTTCACTTGACAGTTTCTCACTATAGTTTTCTGTTTTCTCTTGGCAGTGTTCATTTTATGTTGGAGTCCCTATTTCATTTTTAACCTGCTAACCGTCTACCAAGTGACTTCCGTTATTGAATCCACAGGGGCATTGCATTCTTTCATCCAAAGCCTGGCTCCATTGAATTCGGCTGCAAACCCTGTCATATACGGTGTATTCAGTACAAGAATTTGCAGACAACTAAGGTATAAATTTCTAGAATAACTAGATGCTTTCAGATTCTGTGTAGGCTCTATCACCATTGCTTTTATTTTTTTCCCAATATTTTTTTATTTATGCTTTTTTAAAATTTCATTTTAGCTTTATTTGTTTAATATGAATTAAAATTTATATACTAGTACATATTACAGATATTCCTTATTTTTTCAAAGATATAGTTATTCATTTGGTACATCAGCTATTAACAACAAAGGAGAACTACCAAATCTAAAACCGTGTAAGAAAAGCTACATCTTTAGTTTTATTCTATTAAACATAGACTTCTTTCACTATACATCACAAAGAGTTGCTTTAAAGCCTTGGGTTTGAGCTGTTGTTTCCTTCAGTGCCTTCAGTGCCATTCTAAAACATTTATACGTTCTATACCACTTTGTTACTTGACGAAACTGTTATGAATTTAATTCTAAATCATTTTAAATGAGAACGTTATGGAATATCGTTATCAGTTTGAATTTTAGTTTCATAATAAACATTTTCAATTTGTAGTTCCTGTTGTTAAGCTTTCCCGTCTGTGTCTTTATCCTGGTTTTGCATAGTAAATCAGAATTTGCTTTACATTATTGTTTCACATTCCTTTTAAATTAATGCACGTTACCGAAGTAGTTCCAAATGCACTGCTAGCTGCATTTTTGCGTAATGTCTATGTAACATAGAATCTAGCTGTGTATAATCTGAACATAGCCGTTTTCTTCATAAATTACATACTTTCGTAGCTTGGACGCCTACGATAATCCATTGTCCATGCTTGTAGATGTTTGTACATGCATTAAGTAATTTGTAGTCTATGATTCAATTAGCAATAAATACAAATAATTAGTAATAAATGGTTCTCGTTAATTTTTAAATATAAATGACCCCATATGATATTCCATCATTTACAAGAAACATAGGATCGGAACCAATTATTCGTTGTTTTGTCAAATCCATAGTCTAAGATTGAGCCAATTTCAGAATCATTTTGATTTTTTTTCTGTAGAACTTGGGCGTTTTCCTCCATTTTCAGTTGGATTTTCAAGGTAGTGTTTGGTTAGATATTATTGAAAACATTTATTGTTGCAAATAGACTGAAATATAATGGTTAAATGTAAATAATTTGTAGAAATGCATGTAAAATAATCTTTGCTTCTTGTTCTCCTGTCGACATCTCTTCAACGCAAAGAAAATTACTGAGAAATGTTTCGAAAGCTGAGTTGTTTTAGTCAGTGCATGGAAAATTGTATTATACCATATTGTGTTTGTTCTGAAACAAATAACTTGTACCAAAGACCTTCATTGCTAGTGATTGTCTTATGAAGGAAGTGTTGGAAATCCTGCTTGATTCTCATAAATACTTTAATATAATTTCAAGGACTTTGCATGCACGTTAAATTTTCTTTTATCGTGTATATTGCAACAGAATTAAAGTAAAATGATATATTAAGTAAATATGTAATATAACAAACAAATAAATAAATAGAGCAATAACTTTTCCAAGTACAGTTTGATTATACATGTAATTATGAGTTGCTAAGCAATAAATATTAGATAACATATATCTGAATTTGTAGGATAAAACTTGGTTTTTAGTGGTCAATGTTACATGGTTCACTCAAGCCACCTTTTGTTTTCTGTTTTCGTACGTCGAATAGTAACACGAAAATTTTCAGCTTTTTGTCTAGAACCACTAAATCAGTTTTTAACCATTTTTTTTCACAAAGCGTCTATGGGTAAAGGGAGACAAAAATTATGAATTCCATGGCCCCTGCATCCCCGAATCCTCTGCTGCCTGATGGATAAAGCTTATCATATCACTCCTGAAATCAGCTAGTCAAACGTTGGGCATGACTGTATTAAGCATAGAATCTCTACCAAAAATTTAAAATTCATGGCCACGTGGTTCCAATGTCAATATTGGGCTATGCATAAATTCACTTAAAACCTTCTTTTACCCCCTAGTGATAGGGCTTTTGAAAAAAGACGTTAATGGTAACCTGACAACAAAACTTGATATAAAAGGTGATACTTATGATTTCAACTTTTTTATTGTCAACTTTCCTTGCTTATAGAGCAATATTCCCTAACACCTACATAATTATGGGTTTATGTCATTCAGTTGATACGATACGCAAGGGTATGCTGTACGTTCTTTAAATTTTAAAAGCGAATCAATCTACAATCCAACAAGACGATGAAACAAGAATATGAACAGATTTGTCTGAAGTTGAAAGAATGACCTTATCAGCAAAAAAATCTGAATTAGGTCAACTGCTGACTGACTTTTTTTTCAAATCTATTATAAGGCAATTACTTACATATTATATATATTTCTACGTTTTTTTTCGTGTACCCTATAATTACAAGGAACACAGGGTGGGTGTGACCCGCCGAGTCAGAATACTTAGTCCTCCACTACACCTGATCTCACTTCTGATGTTTTTGGAGGATTGTGTTTGTTCTGCTCTCGATTTTTGTTTTTATCATGTAGTGAAAAACCATAAATTTAGATAGGTCTTCTCTGCTCCTGAAATTGAAACAAACAATCTTAGTGTATAGATATGACGAACAATGATACCTAAACCAGTTTTTTGAAATGCTTAGCTTAGGGTTAATTAATATATAATTAATATTGCTAATATTGGGAAATTGAAATTCAAACTTTTACAGAGAAATATTTAATTATGTTCTTAAACAGGGGAATATATGCTGACTTCAAAACACTGAATATTTTCATTAGCAATGACGTCTTATGTTTGAAATGACGTCACGAAAATGACGTAAATTTAAAAGAAGAAGGTATGGTTTCCATACAAATTTTGCCCCGTGATTTTCTAAAAAATGAAACTGGTGTAAAAGTTGAAAATTCATGCTTTTTAAATAATTGAAATACAATGCAGAAAAATCATGCAAGCCATTTTTCTCACATGTGTTTTTAAATGCTAATTATGACGTCATAAAAATGTGCATTTTCCCGTATTTTTTTAAAAAGTTGCAGAAGACACCAATTTTCAATGGAATTTCCTTTCAGATAACATTGTCCACAGGCATCGCCCACAAAGATCTTGATATATGTGATTTGTTATTGAATTTTGCACAAAATATCAAAAAATTAACGTGGGCGATGGCTGTGGACACTGTTTTCTAAAGGAAAATTCCCCTTGAAATGTGCCATTTTTGATGCTTTTTCTGTTGAAAATAGAGAAATGCTTCACTTTAATGACATCATATTTGCAGAATGGTAAACCTTCATGCCATATTCTTTCCTGATTTATCACAGTCGTATACTTAACTAATATTTAAGCCAGTTTCAAAACGTTTTGATATCATTACATTTTAGGGCGCAATAAAGCTAAAACCATACCTTCTTCTTTCCATGATTTGTGCAGAAAAATGTATATTTTACGTCAACATTTTGAGCACCGAGTGCAGATCTGATCAGGCTCAATATTTTGATATTATGTGTAGAATGATAATATCTATGAAATATGTAAATATTATTCCTGAGCAAACTTGCGCTCTATAAATTTTAAAGCTAAAATTGTTGAAATATTGTCCATTTTGTCTTCCTTCTAAAAATGATATAAAATCGAACTAGTTTGTGACGTCGTACAAAGAAAAATTGTCAGTAAACTACTTTGAAACTATAATATGATCTGTTAATTTATTTTTCTCATTTAATTTATAAAATTCAGCACATTTCAAGAATTTTTCAAATTTGACTTTTGTGGGGGCAAAGATATGCAATATACCGCATATAGTTCTTTCATGACCTTCACGGTTTTTCTATTAGGGTGTTGCTTTATACTCAGATGATCATGAAGACTGTTAAGTCACTTGTTGAAAATAAGGCTAGTGTGTTTATATAGTTTTATTGTAAACGTTTTTCCCTTCTGCGTTTTCAGAATAAAATTTAAATCCTTAGAACACGTATTATTCTGTTGTTTTTTTAAGGACTGAAGTCTATAAGTAGATAAAGTAGTACATTGTTGTTTTTGACAGTTATTGTGAGTATTAAACCGACATAATATCAGCTTTATTTGTAAAGCATGACTAACAAAAAGTCAAATCTAGAAAATAAAGTCGAAAAGATTAAATATAAAATACCTATATTTTGCAGGCGATTCCGAATAATAAGGTGTGTTCTCATGAGGTTAGGGTGCTGCGTTGCTGATGATGTCGATCCACGTCGTCGCCTGTATACCGATCCTCCGACAACCAGCTTCACCCAGTGCACGTACATCTCTCGTCACAGGGGCCCCCGACAGGAAATCTCCAACGACACGGCGCTCAGCAGCGCGGAGGAAGGCAAGGATCTGTGTGATTTGGTGCTGAGTACAGCCCCCTCACAAAATCAGATGACGGCAATGACAAAAATCCGCTGATAAATTCAAAGTTAATTCGAAAATGACGTAACATTTCTACAAAGAGGACGGGATATTGTGGTACATGTAGTCAGCGCGTATGATAGTAGGCAATAGTTGAAGTTTTGCACAACTCTAAAATACTCTAAAGTCGTGTTTAAGTTCCATGTGTATTGGTTTTTAATACAAGTCAAGATATTGGGTTTTGATTTCATTTGATGACTTTTACTGGTCGTATTAATTCAAAATTAATTAATTTCTTAATTTTTATTTCATCTCATAATCACAACACTGTTTTATGAAACAAGTGGAAAAACGGCGACCTCTGAAAATTTTCTTTCCATATCATGCGAGTTTTGTTTTTAAAAATTAATCAGGGAGTCCATGTGATACTAGAATGCTTCGAGAAACAAACATGATCTTCAAGTACTTGCATTATGTTATGTTCAAAATGAGTTATGTGAAGAATAATTTTATCAAGGTTGTGTTCATGTAGTACAATTGTTATGAAGTGTTGGTAGATGAGCTCCAATTCATAAAAAAAAACATGATATTGTTTTTTTTTTGTTTAATCATGATACATATATATATATATATATATATATATATATATATATATATATATATATATATATATATTTTTTTTATATTCTTCGTCTGTGTGTGTTTATATATATATACAGACCCTCTATATATATATATATATATATATATATATATATATATATATATATATATATATATATATATATATATATATATTTTATATATTAGATATTTTAGAATTACTCCAGTTATCTGTACAAAGTTTTGATTTAAATAAAAACATTTTTTTATATTGCAACAGTGCAACTGTAATCTACCTTAAATAAAAAAAAATTTAAGATGTTCACGGTACATGTAAGTCACAGATTATTCAGTGATATTATAACTTTTTACGTCAAACATATTTGTAAGTTTATGAATTTATGTTACATTTGTTGTAATAGATTATATACATAATGTTTAATGATTGTTTTCTAATTATTCAATTTCAGTTTGCAAACATTTATAGAAAGTTTTTGAGTCGATAAATATTTTTATACAGGGACTTGTTACTTTAAATGAATATGTTAAATGACTTCCTTTATACAAATATTAATGGATTAGTTTTTTTTCGATTTTATGTTTTTTTTTTAAAATAAATTTCATAATTTCAACGATTATTCAAACTTCTTATTAACTCCATTCAAAAACCACTTGATAATAATTGTATAACAACCAGCAGTGTTGAGAAGGATTTTCTCAATAACAAGCTTTTCTCTGGAATCTGTACTTAAGTGTAGAAATTCCCCAAGAAGAAATCTCCCACAAGAGCCAAAATTTCCCCTTTTTTCTTTTCATGACAGGTATTTCCCCTTTTTCATCATATAGGCAGGAAATATAATATTGCGCCCCGTTATTAGCAAACCTATTTTTTTTATTCATATGAAGCAAAATTTGTCCAAAATCTTATACGTGAAAAGAAGTAAACACTTGTCTGGGGGCTTCAGCTCGACATTTAGACGACGTACAATGTCGATACGATATATACCGGTAAACTTGAAATAAAAAGATACCACAGAGTCTGACACATTTTTTCATATTTGGATATTTTACTTGAAAAGGACGTGAATGGTAATCTTAAAACCAAGCCTTGTGATAAAAGTGATCATCCTAACTTTTCAATCGTCATTTTTTCTGTAATATGCAGCTATATACGCGTACCTTCTTCACCTGTATACGGGGTTTATATCTCTTAGTTGATCTGATACGCAAGAACATGCTCTTTGTATATACAATTATAAAACAGGGTAAATTATTGACAAACAAGTTGATGAACAAGAATATCAGCATTCTCGTTTTAAGTCATCATTTGGTGAGTTCAATGGTCGATACAATGACCTTGTCAGCGAATGCAATTTATCATTGAGTCAAATGCTGACTGATCCTTATTAGTACCCTAAAAAATGTTCTTTATATACCGCAGTGGGGTTCGAACCAGCGAAGTTATTATACAGGTTTATTGTAGAGTCGAAGTTATCTTCTGAGATTTTTTTTCCCGTAAAAATGATTCTAAACTAGGATTTCCTTCAGAAAATTTGCTCATGAGTAGATTTTTCCCAATGAAAATTGACTCTAGATTAGGATTTTATCTGTGAAAATCCAGTACCAGATTCAATTAATTTTCGGTTGGGAAATTCTACTTTGTGTAAACGTTAAAAATGCGAGACAATTTTCCTCTTTTTTTAGATATCATGGCTGTACTTTTGTATAAAAAGGAGGTCGTGACTTCATAATGCTGATCACTTCCATTGAAACATATGAAGTATGAAAATAAAAAAAACAATGAATTTTATAGCATAAAAAATGTGTCCCGAGAGGGCAAACAATATCAAATTACTTAATATCGTTTGATATACATTTTAAAATTTGTGAACAAACAGGTACCGCTGCGCCGAGAGTAGGTATAAGAAAATCAATTCTTACAATTTTGAGTTACTAATGTTAAGTTCCATTTAATTGTTGTCGGGATTCAATGATTTGAATTATATATCGTAAAACTGACAATTCATTGGTCAAAAAACATTAAAAAATCAGTTGACTTTTCAATAAACCTTTTTAGCCAAAATATTCTCGAAATGAATTTATCATTGTAAGAATAATAGAAAACCTACTCCGAGAGAGACAGGGAGAAAGCTGAGCTAACACACGATATATCATGATTTCTCATGTGAGGAAGTAAAAGCCAATCAATTAATAATGAAAAAAATTAATATGACTATATGCAAACATTTACATATCGACATTAGACAACGACATGAATATCCACAACATAGGCGTCGGAACCGGGGGGAGGGGGGCTTAGCCCTCCCCCCACATTTTTTGCAAACATATACATAATATAGGCATTGAAAATTGGTGTTTACCTTTTTTTTGGTTTATCCCCCCCCACTTTCAATTTGCTTCTGACACCTATGCACAATAGGTACCCGATTTATTTTATATTATATAAATGTATATATTATATTAAATTTGCTCAAGTAAGGCATCGACCTAATTTTAATTGTGATTTTATTGGCTGCATGGTTCATGTATTTTCTCTAAGAAACGAGGTTTTTCTGAGATCGATCCCGTGTAAATTTGGACTTTACATGGGGATTACGTAAAATCAAACAAAGTGTGTTAACTAACTCGCATACTTTGCGGATACAGGCTTTATCAAACGTAAAATCAGCATATATGTAGATCTATATTTTGTTAATTGGAAGTTCAGTTGTTCATAGAGACGAATTTGTCGGTACGAAAGACAGAAAAGTAGAAATCAAAGATCTTTTTTGAGGGTGGGGGGTATTCGGTTTTTAAAGCATTTAAAATACAGTTAACACAGTTTTGGGGATTGTAGATTATGATCAACTATTTTTGTCATTAATTAAGCATTTTGTTTAACTTAGACATGGTGATCACTTGGATTGCTAAGCGATGACAGGTGCCCCAACTAAACAACTGGAATAAACCATGACGTCACAATTGAATCGTGAAAAAAAAACAACTACGATATGCTCTGAGTTAATTAATTTCAAAATGTAATAACTTTGTTATAAATAAAGATATTTTGATTCCATTTTCAGTTTTTGTCGTGATTTGACATGGACCAATAAAATACACAAAAATCTCAAATTCGATAAATTTTGCCATAAGGTCGATTTTTATTCGACGAGGCTCAATTATATATACTGTTTGAATTTCAATATTCGATTCATAACTCCCGCCTTTCTCTCTCTCTCTCTCTCTCTCTCTCTCTCTCTCTCTCTCTCTCTCTCTGCCTTTATTTTTAAATAAATTTCAACTATTGGATAAAAATAAGTACAATTGAGAAATCATTATCAGATCTAATGAGGAGAATAACATTCATTGACTAGAATTAGGAGGGAATACTGTCTCATTAAAGGAGAAAAATGGTTTATAGAAGCCAAATTGCATTTTCTGCACATCTTATACACTCATTTAAAATGATTTATTAACCAGATTTATTTCATTTTCTTACTTTCTCTATCATTAATTTAATTTAAATGACAAATTGGACACGTAACTATATAAGACATACTATATATGAAACATATCAGTGCACTTATTTCTTGTTAAAAAGGAAAAACATGCTTGTTTGGATTAGGAACATATAATATTCCATGACCTTATCAGTTATCGTCATTATATAATAGCTCCCATAGACAGTGTATACATCACCGGAAAAAAATAGGAAATTTCCGGCCATAGTGAAGACTGGTTAGCACTTTCATGTGAGGTTAAAAAATTACACCATTAGAATTCAAATCCATCGACTTAGAATATATGTTAAATATGATTAGATAAATGATTAATTAATTAATTAATTATTATTGGTAATAGATTCTTAATGATAACAAAACTAGAAACGCATCTTTATTCTATTCAAATGAAGCATTGTTAGTTAAACGGAGATACATGATTAATTATAGTCTTGTCGACGGATTTTCCGTTATTTACTGATCTTTAGAGGTCCGTGTTTGCTCTGCTCCTATTTTATATTGTTTAATGGACTTCTGAGCTTGAATACTGTTTGTTATCTCCATATATTTTATGCTAAGAAAAATATATGTTGCATAAATAATTGATTGCTGTAAAGAAGCAACCAACGTTTACAAATTTGTTCAGGTAATTGTGATAAGCCGAGCGCAAATTAATACTAGTACGAGTAGAAGTATATTTAATTTGGGTTCATGAAATTTCACAAATCGTACCAACAGTCGTATTTACTATAAACAAAGCTCCTTTTTGCTTCTGCTCCCTCAGTATAAGTTCGGCTGATGACCTTTGTTCATTTATTGTTTGATAAGGATATATTTTGTTTGGTAATGCCCCTTTAACTGAAATTGGGTGCCCCCACAAATGCTCCTATGAGTCTGTGTCGTTTGCTACGAAATCAAAGCTAAGTTCTGATTTGAAATATGAGATTGTAGATCACGTAAGTATTTGTTAGAAAAGAATAGGGTATCACTTTTTCCAATTAGCGACATCATAAATATCAATTTTAGTGTATTAAATCATCTGCTTAAAACCCAAAGGTAAAAATGCGTGATATATTATACAAATGTCCAGGAAATTATTACAGGTTTGGGCTTTGGTGACACAGCACTGACGTCAGCAGGAAAGGTGATTACGACACATGTCTGTAATAGGGTATCAAAAGGAACCAGCAAATATCACTGCCAAGGGTTTGTTACGAATACTGTATTGGAGAACATTTTGATATGTTGTCAAGTATCGGTGACAATGATAGATGTTGAAATTGATTAGAAATCTGGAATCAGGTAACTTAGCACAGATACACGTGGGTAGTGGGCTCCCATTTTCAATTTTAGTTCTTTATGAGATTAAAAAAAAGGGGGATGGAAAAGGGGGAGGGGTCAAACAATTTTCTATTGAAATCTCAGATTGCTCCCATATTTCCACACAAACTACAAATTGGCTGTTCTAATGATTAACCGTAGGCAAGTCCTTCAGTTTCCC